TATATTTATATATAGAATAAATGTTATTGCTTCTGCTTACAATGAACAATTATTTCAGCCAGCCCAAGAGCTTCATATATGTGATAGGAATTCATATAAAGAACAATTAGTTATTTGACTTTCTCCTGTTTGTTAAAATCACCCACAGTAAAATAGTTTCAAAAAGATTATATTCTTATCCAGGGCTGGCAGTATCCCAGGAAATAATAGTTTGGACAGGGCACTGTTAGATAATTGCTTTTGTCAATTGGGAAAACTGTAAAAATGAAATTGGAACTGTAGAAGATACACATTTTATAAAACTAGTGATGCAAATGCAGTGTGTTTAGTAAGTATAGAATTAATATTTTTCAAATTTGAACTCATTTATTCAAAAGGTCTGGTCTCACTATTGGAAGTGATACTTGTGTTGAGCAACCATTTGGACCTGGCTGAAATGGAAAATTTAGACTGCAGATGGCTTTCCAAGGACACACGCAATCCTTCATACAGGTTGATTCTCCATATATTAGACCACACTTGCTCATATAGTTGTTTGACCCAGACAGTTCACTTTTTAAATCAATGGCCACAAACATATTTCTTAAACCTCTCCTTCACAATTTGAAAGTGAAGCTCAATGTGTGATTGTCTGTATTGTTCCTTGTCATGAAACATTTGTAATAATAGAAGACACTGAAGAGGACTGAATGCCTTAAACTGAGACTAATTAATTTTTCCCATAGTGGAAAAAAGCACACATTAACGTATCAGTAAATGCCATGTCAACTCTGTTATCATATTTTTATGTTAGTTGTGTATTCCTTGTCCATAGTTCATATAAAGCAACTACTCTTGTTTTCACTCTATCAGTTTTACATTTTGCCACCTACCATTGAGATACTACTATTGGATTATTTTATTCTTCATTAATTGTCTTTCAGACTTTCTGTCAGGAAGCAAAAATGTCCCCAAGACAAAGATTTTAGCTGATTCATTGTGCCCAGGAACACTTCAAATGCTGCATTTAAATTTTGAACATGACCTTGTAGCAACAGTGAGAAAAAATCTAATGCCACAGAATAGAAAATTTTAGGCATATTTGGTTATCATAAGGTATATTTGTATTTAATGTTTCAGGGTGTTCAATTTTGGGTGGGTGTGGGTGAGATATATATACACTCAACAGATTTATTTTAATTTCAGTATTAAAAATGCATGTCCTGAGGTGTTGTAACAGTTTAACAGTAGAGCTTTTTAACTGTAAGAATAATTATTCACGTAGAACACTGTGTGAATAATATAAATTGCATCAACCATTCCATTGTGAGGGCTTTTTGTGTTGGCTTTGTTGGGAGTATGATGCTGACCTGTAGTATGTAACCAAGAAATTTGTGAAAAATAATGGTTTTAATTACAAACTTTGATTTTAATCTAATTTATTTTTCACCCTAAAGGCTTAGTGATGAATGCAAATTTACTGCTGATAGCTTTCTCTTTCTCTTTCCCCAATATAAAGTTCAGTATAGCCATATTATGACCTCCAACTTTCCTTTCGTGAATCATTGTATGAAGGAACAGATTTGGGGTGGGATTCAGATTGGGCATTCAACTTTGCCCAATGGGGTTTTATAGGCACTTGAGCAAAGGAATGTGGCTCCACTGGGTATCTATTCCCACTCAAGGTAGAAGGTTGACAATTGAGATTTCGATGGACACCTGACCTTGCCCAAACAAGGGGGGGCGTTACTTAGAGGGGAAGTTAAAATGAGGTTCAGATTGACATTTGATCATTCGCAAATGATGCTTGACTTTGGATTCAAATGAGTATTTAATAAGGTCTGAGAGGTGTGAGCATTGTGGGCTCAGATCATCATCTGGCCTTCCCTAAATGAAACATAAGAGTTTAGGTACACTGTTGGGCAGCTTGTTTTACCAGAAACAGAGTGATAATTTGGTGAACTTGATGAGTGCCTTGGGTCGTCCAATGGAGAAACTAATTTTTGGGATTGGGATGCATTTTCGAGATGAGTGTCTGTCACCCAAATTAAAATGAATGACCTTTTTGCAGAGCAGACTTTGGGGGTTTAGATGAAAATGTGGCATCACAAAAGGACTGGCAGAACTTTTGAGGTTCAAAAAGGGTTTTGAAGAACTCTGGCACTGCATAAAAGACAGAGGGGTAAGTTTTAGAATTCATTTGGCTGTTTGGCTTTTTCCAAATTCTGGGTGACTTGGAGTTAAAGAAGTGCTAGACTTAGAGGAATGAAGTTGTGGTGGATCATCATATGGCACCTTCAGTAGTATAACTTTAGGGCTGAGTGGGAGCTATTTCAAAATAATAGGGTGAGATTTGTATTGAATATAAGTGTAGTTCTTGTTTTGGACAAAAGAAAGGGGAATTTTGGTTATTTGGCTCTGTCCAAAGGATTCAGGTAAGTTTTGGGGTCAGGTGTCTAGATTCTCCCAGATTTGAGAAGTAACTTTTGAGGTTTGGTTGGGACTTTGGGAAATCCAGAGATGTGAACTAACTTATGGAAGCTGCCTACTTGAGAGAAATGATTTTTGGGTCCTTTATTAATCTTGTTTCAGCTGAAGTGGGAAGAGGACATTCCCAACCCTAAAAACAGTAAACAAGCAAACAGACTCTCAGAGTACATTAACCAAAACACCTGTCAGTTCAAAATAAAAATATAAGCTGCAGCTTCTAATTCACATTGGCAAATTGCAGTCGCTTTTTAAAAAGCTGAGTTGCAATTAAATTTACACTCAACTAGTACTGGATCACATAACAGCCCAGCCAGGGCAGTGTTTATGTGGTAGCAGAGTGCTGTCAATGAGTTTCCAAGTGCTGCATGTATCCTTGAAATCCTTGCTTCATTATTTTTGTAGTAATGGTACATCATCTTGTTTAATGAAGTCATGCTAGGTTTATGTAGATTCCCCCTGTCCTAAGTTCTTACTTGCTGATGCAGGAGGCTTTAGATTTGGAAGTATCATTAGGGTTAATCATCTACTTTTATATTTAAGTTGTTGTTGAGATAATGCTACTTTCCCAAGATCATCCTCAGATTTATGCCCAAATTGAGATTGGGCCAGTGTTCTTTCCCCAATCTACTCTACCCTCTGGACATTACTGGATAACCAACACTTAAATGATTAATCAATAATTTCTATTTAATATTTTCATATTAAAAACATAAATGTAAGTGGAAATTTTAGTCTTTGACGTAGCCACCTAGAAGATATCCCTATCACATTCTAATTTAGCATGAGTGATTTGTAGATGGATTGTGTCCAGTATGGCATGTGCTCCAGAGGGCAGGACCTGAACCAGTGAATTCAGATTACAAGAAAGGAGATTCTGACTAAAAATTAGGAAGAACTCTCTGATAGTAAGAGCTGTTGAACAGTGGAATGGGCTGTCTTGGAAAGTAGTAGACTCTCCTTCATTGGAGGTTGTAGAAGAGAGGTTGAGCGTCCATCAATGTCAAGGATTCTTTAGCTATGATTCCTGCATTGCAGGGGGTTGGACTTTATGACCCTTGGGGTCCCTTCCAACTCTACAATTCTATGATTCTTCAGTTCTTGTATGAAACAATGGGGAGAAAATTCAAAATGTGGTGGTGGTCTTGCACCTCCACTGGTGCCACTGAAGAGCTGGTTCTGATGGCTCTGATAGCTTGGGGTTAGAAAGGGCTGATTCCAAGCTCCAAACTAGAAAGTTACAGCATTGTCAATAACCTAACCACACATTTGTGGGTGAATTTGTTGTGCATAATGACTGCTGTGTCTTATGCTTTCTCGGCTGACATCACTGATTGCTCTGGCCTAGCTGAAAATAAGGCAAAACATAGAAAGCAACCAACATGTTCTGTTCATGTTCTAATACGCGTTATTTGGCAAAGATCTTTTTAAATGTTACATGTTAATGATGACTATGGCAGCCTAGAGTATATTGACACCCCTTACATTGCAGAGATATGTTCAACAAAAATTAAATCCATATTCAGCTATCAGCTTAATATTTGAGTTCTTCTCAAACATTTAGTAGTTTCTGGCATCACTTCAGAAGGCTCCCTAAAAGTGAGGTTGAAATGTAAGACAATATTGTTGAGTCTAGGAGAGGGGAAGAAGTGCCTTGAGAGTGCCTGTTGGTTCGGTGACTCATGGAAGCCTTTTGCTTGTTAGCATTCAGTTTTTCTCCATGCATAAAAGATGCATTTTGGCTGTTCATAGAATTTGCTTTTTAGTGTGGCTTAATTTGGCAGTTGGATGCCCTCATACAACACTTCCAATCCCAACAGAGTCTGTGTTGTATAAGATAGAAACTGCACTGCTGGTAAGATGATTTCAGGATCAGTGTGAGCTGTGACATCAGCATGCCAAGCTTTGCTCTGACAACATAGGGGTATTCCTTTTCCTGGGATCATTTTTGCATTAATTTTTAGATATTGAATCATGGAGCACAGGCAAACACCCTGTTGACAGCCTCTCAGGGTTCATGGCAGTGTGTCTCATGATCTAAACTTTTGCACTGTATTGCAACCTGTTTCGTATAGAAATGTTGCAGTGAAGGCCAAAGGCAAAACAAAATATTGTTCAGAGAGATAAAGGCAATTAGAAAAAGAAACAGTTGCTTGTGATCACTGCTCATCATCCTTTTGCCTCTGATAAACAGGTTTTGTAAGACTGTGTTGTTTCAAAAACTGGTTTGTTGTTGTTTTTACCAGAGTTGGCAGTAGAAAAAATACAAGTATACACCAAGGGAAAGAAAGTGTCTCTCAGACCACTTTCAGTTCTCTTAGTAGCTATTATGTGCTTCCATATTCCTCTATAAAAGTTATTGTTGATTTATTCTTATTATTGTTTTGCTTATTTATATCCCACCCTTACAGAAACTCAAGGCAGCTTACAGAGAAAATAGTAACAGCTAAAAAGGGAATCATAGAATCATATAATTATAGAGTTAGAAGGGACCATGCAGGTCATCTAGTCCAACCCCCTGCAGTGCAGGGGTCTTGTGCCCAATGTGGGGCTTGAACCCACAATCCTGATATTAACAGTATCATGTTTTACCTAGTGAGCTATCCCAAAAAATTAAAAACAAATAAACATTAATAGAAAATTATTTTTTAATAGAAGGGCTGGTGCTATGATCTGTATGTTTCAATAGATCATATATCTGTATGTTTTATGATCTATTAAAACATACAGATAACTAAATAAAAACATCACAGCAGCAGCCCTTTCCTTACAAAAAGTTCCCAAAAGCCTGTTGGAATAAGAAAGTCTTCACTTGCTTATGGAAGGACAAGGAGCCAGACAGTCTTAACTTTTCTAGCAAGGGAGTACTACTGTCTGGGAACAGATTTATCCGAGTACACAACTGACTTCACACAGTTTCCTCTTGCTCTAATAAAAATGTTCTATGCAGATTACAGTTTCAGATCTTTTTTATACCAACAGTCCCTCATATTTTCCCCCTCATTTGGCAAAATGAATAATCTTTGACCAAGGACTGCTTCTTCCCTGACCTGTGCCCCCAATTTTGAGAGACTTACTTTTGTCCTATTTACAGTTTTAATCACATTAATCTTCATAGAGCAATGGTTGGATAGAGGACTGACATAATAGTGTAAGAATGACTTGAAGGTAGCTTCTGGTAGCATTTTGGAGAACATCTTGCAGACCTGAAGAGAACATTCGGGGGCTCAATGTGTCAGTAGCCATTCTTGTAGTTTGCAGAGGGACTAAGCTCCAGTTCATGCCAAACAAGAACAAATATTGTGCCCACACATTCCCTTGTCTGCTTCTCTTCTATGCCATAATGGAAAACTCCCATTATTAAACCACAGTGTCCTGTTAAACCACAGTTTCCCATTAATCTGAATTGTGGTTTGATATGTTGGTTTATAGCCAGATATTAAACTACTGTGTCATGGTTAAGATGTAACAGGAAGTGGTTGTTTAATATGTATTGGGAGTTTTTTCATTACACAAAGGAGGAGGGGGTGCATATGTGCAAGATTCATTCTTGGTCTAGTAAATTGTGGTTTATTGGACCAAGAACCTTTCATCTGAACCAAGTTACGTATTTATTATAAGGCTGCACCATGAAGTCCCAGATTTAGAACTGAATCATCCCTTTAGGAAGCAGGTCGTGGTTTCCCATTATTTCACAATCATTGGCATGCTCCCATGAGGCTGCATATAATATGGTGTGACTAAGATTACATGCTGTGAATCAGAAAGTATGTAGTTCAAAAGTTATGTAAGGCATGATTTCTGACATTCATTTGTTGAAACTAGCCATGGGTATAGTTAACCACAAACCCAGGACAACACTGCAAACTGTGGTTAACTGAAACCTGAATCAAAAGCATCTGAACTCTTCTCAGGCACCTCTTAGGAGGAGAAAACATGTGAGCCTAAGACACTGCAGCTTGTGCACATTGCACTAAACCATGGTATAGCCATACACTTTTTTTGTGAATGCGGGCAAACAGGCTTATCCTGAAGATGTTATTGCAGTAGGACCAGAGACAGTAAGAACATAAGAAGAGTCTACTGGGTCAGGCCAATGGCCCATCTTGCGCAGCATCCTGTTCTCACACTGGCCAACCAGGTTCCAGGTAGCAGGACCCAAGCTTAAGAGCACTTGCCCCTCCTATGGCTTCCAGCAGCTGGTATTCAGAAGTGTTACTGCCTCCGACCATGGAGGAAGATCATAGCCATTATGACTAGGAGCCCTTATCTTCCATGAATTTGTCCAATTCTCTTCTAAAGCCATCCAAGTTGGTGGCCATCACTGTCTCCTGTGGAAACAAGTTCCATAATTTAACTATGAGCTGCATGAAGAAGTACGGTACTTTTTTAAAATCTGTCCTGAATCTGCCAACATTCAGCTTCATTGGATGTCCATGAGTTCTAGTGTTAGGAGAGAGGAAGGTCACCTCTTACTTGCCTTTTCTGTAAACTAAAAAATCCCAAACACTGCAGCCTTTCTTCATAGGGGAAACACTCCACCCCCTTGATCATATCGGTTGTCCTTTTCTGAACCTTTTCCAACTCTACAATATCCTTTTCGAGGTAAGGCGAACAGAATGGTATACAGTATTTCAAATGCTGTTGCACCATAGATTTGTAGTACAAATGTAACATTAAGTGAAATTCATTTTCCTGCAATGAAGATTCTGTATAGCTCCCTTAAAACACTAAAGCTTTTGTCTTCTGCGTAGCAACCAACTGAGCCTCAAAGAATATGCCAGACTTGCCCTGGAACTTGCTGGAGAGAACATAGTTCCCTCTGTGTCCCCACCCTGACTTTATGCTAGGTAAAGTTGCAAGCTATTCTGAAAGAAATATTTTGTTGAAATTACATTTGGCACAAAAATTAACCGCAGCCAATTGTTTCTGCAAAACATTTATGTTTAGAACTTATTTAAGGCAAAGCATTCCTCTCACTGGATCATCTATAAGTTGTCAGTGAAACATTTTCTTTTATTTTTTAATGTGGAGGGGGTGCGATTAATGCTTACCATAATATTATCCAGAATTTGGTTAGGATTTCCCATAAAGCTGTTAAATTGTAGAAGAACGATTATGGTGAATTCATGCAGATGCTCATGTTTGTAATTAGTATAAAGCTTCCTTGCTTCTTTCCACTTATTGTCATAGGAATACATAGAAATTTAAGATGCAGTCTTATTTCTTTGGCAAAAGAAAAATAGAAGCTTTTACAGGAAGCTTGAGGATTTTGGAAATGTCAGGCTTTCAACATTCCATATTTCTTTTTTGTTACAGGAAGGTTTTTTTCCTTATTATGGAGCTCTGTTTCCACTTCTCAAATAATTTTAAGCATTATTTGGTGTTGAGAGAGAATTTTCTCTCATATCAATTTGGGGTAAGGCGTTGTCTTTCCTTATAGCATGTTTGCCTTATTTGCTTGAGCCATTTGGATTTGTTTTACCAAACTATTCCTTGCCTGCAGGGTTTTTCATTCTCGCTCTGTGTTTGTGGCATACTGTAATGTGGTATGTGGTCTGGATGTGGATTAATATCTGGTAGAAGATCCTGCCTTAAAGTATGATTTGGGGCTTTGAGTTCCTTCCAGTCTCATGATTTCATGTTTTGGAGCTGAAACTGAACTGTAATCGTCACTGCCTTCCTGGCCTATGTGGTCTAGTGGTTATTCAGTCTGAAGGAAACTCTGTTCACGTGCCAAGAATTGCTGTTCTCCCAATGCCATTCTCCATGTCTTTTGACAGCCGTAAGTGTTGGGGGTAGGTGGTATTGTGAGGTGGTCTGATCCTAGAAAATTATATGTAATTGACCACATATGTTTAACTGCTGGATTCCATAGGGGAGGATTAGACACAACTCAGTAAGTTATGCCAAAAAGCCAAAGTAAGCTCGAATATATTAGACTCGTGGGGACTTCAAGCAACAAGGGTGAATTCAGGATTAATAAAGAACACCTGGGAGGTGGAAACTTATGGTAGAGATAAAATCAAACCAAGCAGACAAGCCCCAGCAGCACCCTTACATTAAGCTAATTTCAGTTCTTTATTTGTTTAACTTTGTACTGATGTAGTCTTCCATGTTCGTTTGATCTGGTACTCCATTTGCCCAAGGTGAAGCGCACCTTTGTAATTGTATAATTTGGGGTGTAAAAAGGGCAATATTTCACACAGAAGTTTAAAATATGCAAAGCCTTGTGGGAAGTCATTGTTGGTAACACAAAATTACTGATTTGTGCACTCCAGAGTAGGAAACCTAAAATAAAAGCATACAGCCTATTTACTGGATGCATCTTCTGCTTGAGACTTTCCTAGACAATTATTTATTGCATGGGGATTGCACCATACTCCACATTAAGGAATTTGGAGTTTAGGGATTCAATACTTATGTTCCTAAAACATAACCGACTAGTGCTACTTTAGTGTTCCCTATTAGCACTAAATGGTTTGCATTTACTTTTTTTTACATCTTTCAGATCCAATAGCTTTTCAACTAATCATACTAGAAACTTTGTGCCTCTTCTGACTTCCTGTTGATGGGATCAAAACTTGACTCTGCAATGTGAATTTTGAAAGGAGTTACAGTTAGCAGTAGGAGAGCAAGGGAGTTTGTTGAAGAGGTGTAGGAAGGACTGCAGTCTTGCAAATACATCCATGTCATATCAACCTATTCCACTATCACTTTTTCATACTATTAAAATGCCTACAAGCTGGATGTGCAATGCTGGAGAATCTTGCTTCAGAAAGGATCTGGACCAAGCTTTGTGTGACATTTGAGGATGGGGAAGAAAAGTTGCAGCATCTTTTTTGCAACAGTTGCTTTCCTTTGCTCACTTTGTGTTCTGCCTTGAACTGGACCAGTCAATGCCAAAGTCAAGTTAACGACTTCTGCTAACAGTTGAACTTTGTGTGAAGGGTCTTGTTGGAAGAGCTTTTTGAGAAGACAAAAATCCTTTGTTTGCAAAAAGAGAAATGTATATGTTGTATTAACTTTTCCCTCTCAACCCCCCCCCAAACAATTCTAATATAGCGTTAAAGGAAGAAGAACTGATAACATTTTGGAAGCAGGCATAATACATTTTTTAAAAAACAACCCACCCGAAGATTGACAAATTTTGCTTGTGAGAATGAATTTGTAAAGCAACTTGTATCATTAATTAGATGGCAACTTCTTGTCTTTTTATTATTAAGCATTTATTGCACTAGGTATAGTGCTTTAAAGCATCTGCTCAGTACTCCATTATGATAGCACAAAAATGCATTTACGTGAGTGTAATAAAATAACAGATGCTTCCTGATGACAACTTCCCAATTTGTTTAGGAAACAGTCAGTCCCAGATTCAGTTTTCCTATGCAGTGTGGCAGCCATGCAAGTGAAATTATCATGGAGAAGAAAATAAGTGGGAAAAATCAAGTGATTGTGTGCTGTTTTTTATAGAAAATATTAGTTCCTGTTGAATTAAATTAAGTTAAATCCTGTTTTGAAACAGTTGAATATGATAACTTTCTACTTACCATTCTGCAAGCAAATCTTTTGATAACAGACTTTAGTTCTGCCTTCATAAAACCAGTC